GTATAGAGTAAATTCATTTGCGATAATATGAAAGAGTTCTTTTTTAGCTTCATCTTCATTAAACAGACTGTGAGTATTGATTTCCAGCATTAGGAGACATTCCACAACGTACATGGTAACGTGCAGTGTTGAGCATTTAGACTAAGACTGTTCATAAGTAACTGATTTATGCCAGACTGACTTAAAGATAATGCACATTGCAAACTAACATTAACTGGAGAAGGACTGTGAAAGTAGACGGTACAGGGTAATTATTTTAAGCTACTCTGGAACTCCTGAGGAATATGGCTCCAGAACTGTCTCATATAGGATAGAGCCCAACACGTTAGTATCTGCAAGTGAGAAAGTCAGTGATGCATCATTGAAACTGTAGTTGTAGTTAACTATGGGAAGTCATGGTTACAACAAGAGACAGATCATCATCTTGATCATCAAGATTAACATAGGACCAAGCATTACTGCACAACGCTCCAAGTTGCCACACCTCATGTCAGCACATCAAGCAACAAGGCATTAAAATCAAGATAAAAGTGGAAGGAAAAATCGGCCAAAGGAAACAGAAGTAACAAGTAGTAAGAGAGAGTAAGGAAGAATGAAATGATGAAATTAGGCATAGCGGTTAAGATGAGGATAATGTGTATGTACAACTGCGCCACTGATATCGGTTCTGAGCCATATTACCTAGAGTCTCCAACCACTGGTTCCTCTTGTCCCGCGGACACCAACCGGCTAGTCTGCGTCGTCCTACATGACTCGACCCCAACAGTCCAGATCTTAATGCACTGATGCCATGTTTTAGTCTAGTCGTCCTAAGCCTTTTTCCAGCTTGAACTCACTTCAGTCAACATAGTTTGATGAGGCAAACTCTGACTAGGTATATGCAACAAATGTTCCAGCTATCTCAGTCGAAGAAGGTTCACAACCCCATAAACTTTCTTGCCTCTTCTGTCTACAACTCTACGTCTGACTGCTGAGTTACGCGGTGGCATCACGAAACACGGCTTATGCTACGAAGGCAGTGGTGGTCAAAATACTACTACTACTACTACTAAAATAATAATAATAATGACAATAATAATAATGGACAGATAGGTATTTATGGAAAATTTTGAGCAGCTAATTAAACAGATTGAAGGTTATTTTAGTCTGCATGAAAACCATTTTAGTAGTATATAAAATGGGGGATATAGCTTATTTCAGATAGAAAATTCAAGAGGTATCATGACTACTTTTTGTATCTCGTAAATACATGTATGGTTCTGGTTTAATCTGTGAAATCTCTTTAACAACAACCAGTTAAAGTCTGAGTACTAAAAGTCTAGCACATCACAGAAAAGAGAGAAGCACTGGAAGGAGTAGAACTATAAGGGGAAAACTTTGAAAGGGACATTACTTCATTTTTCGTAAACGAAATGTCTATCCAGAAGTTAGCCCTTATTGAATATACTAATCTAAAGCAAGAAATGACATATGTCTCAGCTTGTGTTCTGTTATCTTTGTTTTGTATATGGATGGTAATGAAGGCAGGTTGGTGAATATGAGAAAACCGTTGGTACTCGGAAGGACAATCAGTCAGTCAGGATCAATATACTACCAGGGATTGTTGTGTAATAACATAACCTACCCCACCTCATTTCACTACATCAAGTTTCAATGCACCAAGATGGAAGGTACAATAATGAGTAAGAAAGTAGTCAAAAGTGGTGGAATGTTATTAAAAAAGTAGGAGAAGAGACAAAACAATACTGAAATTCGGCAGGATGATAAAGATGAAAATAACGTGCAGATCCATCTGCTCCAGTGACGTTGAGTCTGGCCCATATCTTCTACAGTTTCTAACCATTGGTTCCTGTTACAGTGCGGACTCCAAATGTCAGATCTGCACATTTAAAAAAGCCTCAGATCAACTGTTGCTATGTTTTAGTTTGGCCTACTATGACCTTTTCCTAGCCTAGACATACTTTAAAGCAGAAATTTCAAAACTATGCTAGTATTGTTACTTAGGATAACCCAGGCTGTTTTGCCTATCATCTGTCACCAATGGTGAATGGCTGACTGGTATCTAAAAAATTACAGTGAGTATCCAAACAGTGATATTGAAAACACAGAGTATGAAGTTGAAGTAATAATGGATTTGTTCAGGTAATATCATCTATGATTACTGTTTACCTTAACAGGTTGAAAAGAGATAACAGTGGGTGTATGGTAACCCACCTAGACCATGAAAATGAATGGCAAGACGTCATGCAGCTGGGACATAATTCCTGACTTCCATAATGCACTACGGTCGCATTATGATACAAAAAGATAGATAGACTAAATCTACGCACAACTTTGCCCAGGAGTGCATCTGCTCAAGTTACCACACTTCACAAAAGTACACGAAGAATAGGTTGGTAAAAGAAGAGTGATATCAGAGTGGATAAAGTAGTGTAAGAAAATAAACAATCTTAAGATAACGGTTATTGCGAATACTCAAGCTTTGGAAGATGTCGAGGAGTGAATACCTCTATGCCATTGTGACCGATATCCTTTGTCTCGGGCACCCCAACCAAGCAGTCTACATCTCCCTACACGGCTCAGACAAACAGTCACAGACTCCCAATCGACTGGTACCTGATAACCCTGAATCCACTTTCAAACTAATCGAACTTTGTTCAGAAGACCGTGGATTTCGTCAGTGCCTTTATCTAGTAGAACAATATCCTCTTCATATTCCAAGTTAACTGGATGACCTCTAAGGGTAAGTCAGACTTACCTAAGTTTGTCCATTAGTACGTTTATGACGAAGTTATATAGGAAGGGAGACAGTGAACATCCTTACCAGACACTACTAGTTGTTGATATAGTTAATAGATGGAAACACTGTGGCTACAAATCTTTAACTTATACCTAATATTTATTTCTCTTGAGATTACACAAGATACATCGTTTGAATGACTTTTGATCGTTGAAAAATAACATTGATCATATGATGCAATAATGAGTTAAGCTACGAAACAAAACAACCAATAGTCTACATATGTTCAACACTGTTCACAAAAAAAGAAATACTACAAACAGACGTGTCAGATATTAGACTTGTAAGCACACAAAAATTGTTTGGTTAATTTGTGTGTGATTTTTTTCATCTCTGGGAAAAAAAAACATTTAATGAGACAAAGTTTAACACTGTACCCCCTAAAATCATCAGTTCAGATGTCAATAACACCACAGGATACACCACTTATTATCTCTAATTGATATGCAGGTAACAAACAATATGTGATAATCATGTGATTGATCAACTATGAATGTTCAGTGGATCATATATTTTTGCGTTCATTTTAAAGAGGATAATTTCAATTTTAAAATGGCTTAATCACAATAAGTCAATCAAACATTATTTGAATTTATAATCCATTATCCTATATTTTACAAAAGAATTTAGTAAAAACAAAAGTAAATTGAACAGTTGTTTTTTCTTAACTATCACAATATAAACAAATAAAAAGATGCAATTATGATTATTTGAATAAGCAAAAAGGAAGTCTGGGAACGAACCAACGTAGCAAGAACTTATCACCTAACAAATATGCGGAAGAAAGTGGAGATGGATTGGGCATGCACTCAGAAGACCGATTGAGGACATCACTCGCCGGGTTCTCGAGTGGAATCCAAAGGGGAAACGATGAGTTGGGCGTCTGAGGCGAGGGTGACATGGAGGAGATGGTGTGAGGAAGAAATGAGAGCTTGTGGGCAGTCGTGGAGCCAAGGTTGAAAAGGCTGCAGAGAAGAGAGTGCAATGGAGGTGTGCTACTGTAGCCCTATGTTCCACTATTAACACAAGGGTAAATAATAATAATTAAAAAAATTATGATTCTTTAATTACAAGACGACTTAGTCACCAGGTATTTTCGGAAAGATTAGATTACTTTCAAGGTATACAGGGATTTTGCTAGTGAAATGAGATTAAAGATAAAAGGCATGGAAAAAAGACATAGAAAGAAATATCTCACTACTAGCGCAGAAAACTGCTGCTCTACAATGTATTTACTAAGCTTATAATCTTATACCAACTGTGAAGTGGTAATGTTAGGTAAAGTAGAATATAAATTAGCTACCTAATGACCGGAAGTTAAGTCTATACGTGACTGTGTAGTGCAACTTCTCAGCATCAAATACTGCTAGGTTTAAAATAGATAAACAAAACATTTAAAACATCTTAATACCAGCTAAATAATCTTCTACAGCGTTTATGTATACCCATCCACAACTTACTTGTCGATATTCAGCATTCTTACAGTCCTCTTTTAGGCAATCATCAGCGGTACACTTAGGGTCCCTAGTTCAGCTATTCATATATAGATAAGTCAGACGATTTTCCCGGAAAATGTGTTTTTATTTCAGACTAATAAGTAAACTGTTCCTCTGAGCACTTTTACTATCTTATGTGTTTTCTTACTTTTCGTCTTTGTCTACCAGTACTTATTCGTAGGTGAACTAGGCAGCACTTTTTCAATTACAGTTGGCACAGATGGAGACGTCAAATCCAGCCATGAACGGAAAGACAGGAAGACAGGCGTTCATCAATCTGAAATCAGTGTGCATGGAGATCAACTGTACTCAGCATAAAACGTGAACATCATCCCGATTTTCAACACCAATCCAGTCAAGTCAGTGCTTCTATGTGATGGTTGAGAGACTTGTCGCGTTACGAAAAGCAGTTCCAACAAACTACAGATATTCATCACCAGCTGCTGCCTACTCTGGCTCGTTACTGAAGCTCAGATGGGCAGAAAGAATAAGCAACAATGAAATCTGGCTGGCTTTCTGGCTGGCTGGCGACGAATCAACGAAGAATCTATCGCTCAACAAATATGCATTGGAAGGAGGTGGAGATGTATTGGGCATGCATTGAAAAGACTGTTTGGGACATCACGCATCAGGTGAGGCCGTGGAGTGGAACCTGCATGGGAAACGGTGAGTTGGGCGTCTGAGGCGAGGGTGACATGGAGGAGATAGTGTGAGAAATAAATGAGAGCTTGTGGGCTGTCGTGGAGCCAGGTTGAAAAGATTGCAGAGAAGAGAGTGTAATGGAGACGTGCTACTGAAGTCTTATTTTCCACTAGGAATCCAAGGGACAAATAATAATAAAATTCGTAGGTGAAGAACTCATGAGTTTGGTACTGTTCCACATTAATTTACATATGAATGGTCACCTGTTAGGCAATAGTAACACAACTAGCATCTTACAAATACTTGAAAGCAAACTGTAATCAGATTATCATTGTTAGTTTTGTATATTCTATAGAATACTAGTTAAAATACGCTTAGTCATTTTCAAGTATTCAGTAGGCGCTAGAAGTGGAATTCAGGACACACGTTTCCTCTTATTTAAAATCGGTCTGCAGGATGTAACTGCATCATCGACAAAGAATTGTGTTTAGTAACACTCATTACGAAAGCTAAGATGTTATGTGTCAGGTTACTGTGTTACTAAAGCTACTTATTGTGTTTAGTAGTTGAAGACGAAAGTCATACCTTGAATTCTACTACAGAATGTATAACCGGGATCTGAATACGGGCTATTTCGAAGCATTCCTGTAAATTAGTCATATCCCAATAGAGACTGACTAATTTGGCTCTATGCTTTTGGTGTTTCTTCGCAGAAAAAATAAGCTAGAATTGACTATGCTAAATCTTCGACTGATTTTTACTGATCAATTCCATACACACACACACCCTTACTTAGTAACACATCATAATAAAGGAACTGAATGCAAACTTATTATAAAATTGTCATCTCCGTACAACCTTCCTGAACATAATCTACAAAGGCTTGATCTCTTAAAAATAAATAAATATTTACTGCAGTTTTCAAATCAGTTGAAGAACCATTGGAAGTTTAGTGGAACCATATTTCTCTTCCTTCCCAGTTTCAAACTCCCTGGAAGTGTGTACCCCTGGACACAATGATAGGTAGAACTGGAGAACGTCAATTCTCACAATGAGCACGTTGTCACAGCCAATGGTATATATTTTCTTCATTCAATTGATTCGCCATATAGCGTGACCATTATTCACTCTCATCCACGGTCACGTACCCTAACTCACAGCTTAGTTGACTTCACAGTTCACCATTTCCCATTAGAATCTTTCAACTAACATAAGATTTAACCTAAAGATTTCTCTCTGATCAATATATTTCATGAATGTCTAAATCAACATTTCTATTATAACTGTGTTGAAATCATTGCATTTATATTTAGGTACACTATTTTGTCACCAGGGCTTCGCTTTCAAGAGTACTCGTCAGACGTGAACCACTAATTTCAAGAGAAACTGCGCTTTTAAAAACACCTTAGCCTATATTATTCACTTCCTCAGTAAGGCGAACAGACAGACAAAGCCAACGTAAAATACCACACAAATGCATCGATCCAAGTTGCCACACTTCATAGCAGCATAAAAAGAACAATTGGGTAGAAAAAGACTGATATCATAGTAGACAAAGGTGTATGAAAGGAGAAGCTACTTAAAGATAAAGGTTAGTTAAAATATTTAAGCTTTAGAAGACGTCAAGGAGTAAATATTATCTATACCATTGTGACTGATTTACAGCCATTTGATGAGAAGTTCTCAACCACTGATTCCTATCATTTTAGGGACCCCAGATAGTTAGTCAGCATCTCCCAACATGATCCAAACCAACAGTCAGGGACTCGACAGATTGATGTCACCTCTTGGTCTGGCTACCGCGCGCCTTTCTCCAACCTATTCCCAACTTCTACAAGCATTGCATTTCGAGATATGGGTAGCACGGCATGTTGAATACATATCCAAGCCATCTCAGTTGCTGAATGTCTATTATTTTATAGAGTGACTTTCTTTTCTCACCTGGTGTCCTTCACTTGACTTCAACATCTCTAGCATAGTTATTTCACCATATGCAAATAGTGCTCCGAAGATACCTGTGGTACAAAACCTGTGATCTTTTCATATCTTTTACTTTTAACAGTCATGTCTCAACATCAATAAGCGGCATTTTCAAAATACCTCAGAGGTTAAGTCTGTTACTGAGATACCATTTGACTTTCAATTAACAATAAAGTATGAACAATGCAACATTCCTTGCTGTTGAGTTCCAAGAAGCAAGGGAAGCCCAAATCAGATATATTTTTCTATCTTAATGATGCTTTAACGACCAAACATGAAATACAGCTTATTGTATTGTAAATACGACTAGCTAATTCATTACAACTTGATCCATACTGAGGACGTACATAACATGATGTTGTCTAACATCCACTGGCTAATCGGTGTATTAAAACGTTTGTAGAAAAAACAAAGTAGGTTATAAAGTCAATTAACCGGTAGAAATCATTTTTGATTACTGAAACTAGAAGTGATGTGAATGATGCTACTACACTAAAAAATGACTATTAAAAAAATCTAATATGATGAATACATAATTAACTAGATTACTGTTACATAAGTCTACTCTGCTTGTATATAAGTCAGCTTGAACTATCTGAAATAGCCATGGTTTGGTAGGCTTGTATTGAAATGAAAATCTGAACTGTGATAGCATTCAAACCAACGATCTCTGGGTTTTCGATTCAATACTCTATCAACTGAGCTATGAGTAGCAACTACCCACTAAAACTTTATTTCACATCAGTCACCAAGGATGAACAGAGAGTAACGCATCAGCTCAGTTATTAGAGTACCAAGCCGGCAACCCAGAGGTTCTTGGTTTGAAACCTGCCACGGCCCAGATTTCATTTGAACTTCACTCATTATGCTGTATCAATTTTTCGTAAGTGTTCAACTGAGAGGTTATTAAGGAAATGGATGGCTTCAAATCATGCATCATAGAGGGATGTCCTACTGAAAAATAGGCAGCAATGAACAACCGTCTGTCGTAAAACCTGATAGTTTCGTATAGATATCATATGGGGTCACTAGTACTCATGTCCGTGTAAGCAGATATAAACTGGGATGAAACACTCCTTGCTTGCGTATTAGGATGTTCAGTGTCTTGACAAATTTTACACATAATATGGTGTCAAAAAAACTTAACAGTAGAAACTAATGCATGTGATGCTGTTTAAGAACTTAGGTAAACTGAATGAACTTATGCACAGAACTAACCATAATAACAGACGAAGGTAAGAAGCGTAGGTTACATCTTATTTGGTTTTGCATACAACTGCTCGTGCGCAGGTGGCTAACACTTTGCAGCTACCCACACCATGAAAGACTAGTTCACCTCAAAGTACCTGAAAAAGAGGGGTTAGTGCGTGACTCCAAAGCCCAAGAGACACGCCCTTAACCCGATAACACAGCCTTTGACACTTAAGTGTTTTAGTTTCGACTCTGACAATGAACCCATATCTTCACTGGTACCGGTATGCCAAGAAGTAGAGGCGAGTGATTTTGTTTTGGAGTCAATCTTTTCATAACCGTCCTTTCCACAAGCAACTTATCAAAATCCGCAGTAATACAAAAAAATAGGTGGATAAAATAAGAGTGTTATCAAAGTTCGCAAAATTGTGCGAGAGAATAAATAATTTGAACGTAATGCATATTGCAAATATTCAAGCTTTAGAATACAACAGTGAGCGAATACGTCTGCGCCGGTGCGACCAAGTTTTAGCTGTCATGATGAGCTCTCAACTATGGATTCCTTTCGTTTCGAGGACTCCAACAAGACAGTCTACAACCCCCCACCCCCACATGACCCAGACTAACAGTTTGGGATTTCGAGCACTGGTGTCACATTTTCATTTGTCCACCCTCAGTCTTCCTCTGACCTAATCCAACTCCTGCTAGCATGGCATATCCAAGTAGGTGGTCGATCAAGATGTGAAGTGAATGTCAAAGGCACCTCAGTCACTGAAGATTCACTACCTCATCTACAGACTTTCCTTCCTTGCATAGTATCAATATTGTTAAGATGATGATTCCACTATACACCATCAATGCTACAAGGTCACTTGTAGTGAATTACCTCCCTAGCCTTTGACATCAAAGAAAGAATAACTATTAAATTAGGAAGGATCGGTCGATGACTTCGCTTTATTTAACAAATGTTCACACATATACAGCCTTTTGAACTCCGTAAAAAGATGTAAAATCCCCTTTAGACAGTTTTATCATAGTTTATTGGTGAGTATTGGAATCAGTAAATGATAAACTTCAATGTTTTTAGCCATAACATGGTGAGATAATTAATAATTCATCGTTTACACCTTTATAAGTTATCAGTACCTGGTTACAGGAAAATTTGAGCATCATTGTCAAAGCAATAAGTAATTTTTCATTCTTATCAAACCTTCAAATCAGGGAGAGTAACTCTGAAGTTCGAGATCTTACAAAGACTTTTTATTTCACCTTGAGAACGATTCAGTTGATGAGGTTTAGTCCAGAGTGACTGGAATAACCAACTATGTTCCTTTATTTCAGATTGGAAAGGGAGATACTTACAAAATAAGAGTCTAATTGGTTTCTTCAGTTGTTGTTAGGGTAGCCACTGGAGATAATCTTCATTCCTGGGTGATCAGGCACCAATTTTATATTCAACGTACAATACAACAGAATATGAGTCTTGTTTACTGTATACACTTTCCGGAGCCATTACAGTAGAAATAGGAAGTTACATGAGAATCTGCATAGTGGGATGAATTGATCACTGTTACTACATTTGTAACTTGTAAATATGCTAGGAGTTGATAGGACTCTGGAGGTGTCTAAATCGAACACAAGTGAGGTTTATATGATGGAAAAACGTTTGAAACGAGAACATGGAATGATTACACCAGAATATACTTGTCATATACTTCAAGACGTTTTACACTAGGGCCAGCCGCCTGCTTCCTCCATCTTGTAAACTCCATGACTCAAGGAAATATCTACCTTAAAAGTTCTCTTACAAGAAACATATCACGTTATGAACGATACTTTGACATTTAAGATTGTGCACTCAAAGTACCCATTATTAACTATTCAGCAACTCAGAACACAAACTCCAGTCTCTGAGATCCAATTAAATACTGTATCAAACTGTTTTTTGTGGAAGTTATTTCCTATAAAGTTTCAAACTACATATAAGTTACTAATCATAAAAATTTTAGCGAACAAATTACAACAGTTATCTGTTGTTCATAGGGAGAAAGTGATGAGAATTAGTTACAGTCTGGTCAACCTTAGGTGTTTTTCGACCTAACCCAACATTCCAGCTAACATAGTGAAGCAGAACAGACAGTGATTTAGCACATTTACCACAGAGCCCTTGATATTTTATTCTTGTAAACTCTTTGAACCTTTTAACTGCTATATCTGCTTTACGTGAGATTCGACACACTGATTTCCCTATACGAAGAAACTATTGAGCAGGAAGTGGTGATCACAAACTTACAGTCATCGTAAGTAATGAATTACTAAAAGTCATCTTTCGCTGATTTATACATATGTAGTAAAGTAAAACAGAGAGTGGCGATGCATAGCTGGTCACTTGTTCTCCCAAAATCTCTCCAAATGAGTCACCAATGCCTCCAGAACGACTTGCTCTGCACTCTAATAAATCAATAACTGTTAGATTCAGCTTATGACCAGATTTCAGTGACATTTCAGTTGTCAAGTATTGTCTTTGACAGTTATCAGTACTGTTTATCACATTTTACAATGTTTACACTATACTGCCAGGTATCTGGTTGCAATTGTTATTATGCGTAAAAATGACAACCTATGTATGACATACTTTGGATTAATAAAATAGATGTGCACACCATCTAGAATTCCCCTGTGAACTCAGAAATGATTCATTATTCTTGGGCGTAGTAATGACTCATTTCAGTCATGGCCAGTCACTAGAAATCAAACTTAATAAGGATTGATGAATCAACTTTATTATCTGAAGAATTATACTATTGTAGAAAATAAGTTGTTGATCACTTTGACTGATATCAAATTCAAATTACATGACTGGTTGTGTGCTTAGTCGTTAGCTCACTTGTTGATGAACTGAGGCGAATATAAAGCCACCCTAACAGTGATGAAAATAACCCAGCTAGGTTTCTTCATTACGGAGGGGAACGCAGACTTATAAAGAAGAGAAGTCAAATTGGTTACTTCAGTTGTTGCTAGGGTGGTCTATAGAATCGCCTATTTGAGGAGTCATCCTGAATCAAAAAACCACCCTAGCAACTGATGAGACGGCCAAAATAATTACATTCCTTTATTTTATGGAAAAGTCTTTTCCCAGGCGAGAAATAAAGAAGCCAGGTTGGTGATTTCAGC